GGGGGGGAATAGGGGGTGTAGCTGAGGCCAGAGAAGTGGGTGTGATCAGCCAGAGATGCAGAGGAGGCTAAGGGCAGAGCTTCACGGGGCCCATGGGCGAGGAGTGGGGGAGACCAGGTGATAACTAAGAAAACTGAGGGGTGGGGTAGCCAGCGCGGCTTGAGGTCCGGTAAAGGGGGGGAGGGGGGCTTTCTGAACGGTATATTTTAGCTCATTTTAGCATCTTTTGGATGCTAAGGGAAGGGAGGGAAGGGGTCAGTGAGCTGGGGTGAAGGCAGTGCTTAACTGGAGGAGGGAGGGGAGGTATCTCGCACCTGTCCCCCCTTTCAGGACGGGTTTTGAGGGGCAGAATGTGGGGAACGCCGAAGCGCGGTGCTCTGTCTCAGGAAGGCAGAGGGTCCACAGGGAAGTTTGAAACAAAACCTCCACGGGAACTCAGGCCCCGAGTTCTTGGTGACAAATCCACTGGGACCTCCAGGCAGAATGGGCGGGGTCCCCCGCCCCGCGCCGCCCCGCCCCGTAAGACCAGCCCTCTTCAGTCCGTGGAGGGACCCGGGTGGCCCGGGGCTAGGCTCCGGGAGGTGGCGCGGGGGCCCGCGGGCGTCCACGGGCGAGTTCCCGCGGCGTTGCGGGCGGGACCCGCAGATACAAAGGGTCAGGCGGCGTCAGGCGGAGCCCAGCCCCGCGGGGGTCCAGAGGGATGAATGGGGGACGACCCGGCCAATCGGAGAGCAGGATTCGCGGCCGCGAGAGCAGAGAGCCAATAAGATCCGAGGTGCGACAGCGAGGCGGAGACGGAGCCAATCAGCTGTGAGGACAGGGCCAGGGGGCGGACCCGCGCGGAGTTTCAAATCGGCTGGGGTGGGCGAGGCGCATCTCTGCTGGGCTTCTGGTCGAGGTGGGCGCTGTGGGTGAGTGCAGGCCGGGGCGTAGGGGGCTTCTGTTCGGAAGAGACCTGGGGAGAGGGGGCGAGGGGGCGACTAGTTAGGGCAGGCACGCAGGTGGGGCGTCCGGGTATCGCGGGGGGCTCTGGCCAGCCGGCCAGGGTCTCGGTGGGAGCGCGCTGGGTCCGGGCGAGTTGTGCAGGAGGCGCTGGTCGCGCGGGGCCCTTTGCCCACGAGGCCGCTCCGACTCCTCCCCCCTCCCCGCCTGAGGCTGGGATGGAAAGACAGCTGCTTTAGACACTTAGGGCAAGCGACCGACCGCAGGAAATGCTGACCAGCCTGCATCAGCCTCTGCCTTCTTCTGGGCCTCGCTGGCCCCACGCCCTACTTTCAGGGAGCATACTCCTCCCGGCACTCACAGTT